CTCAATCATATAATTTTAGAGTGTGTCCTAAATTCGCTAGATACTGACACAATGTACTTAGAATTAGTTAATATTGGTATACCTCTACCAATAAACATTGATGTTCTGCTTTCATTAAACGATGTTAAAGTTTATAAAATATTGTATGAATTTGTTAAAAAAACTAATACAAGATTGTAAGTAGCTGAGCTACCCTAAAAATATTGTAAACCTGAAACGAAAAAATAAAATAAATGATAAAATAAAAAAATGAAACCAAGGAAAAAAAAAAAAAAAAAAAAAAAACAAAAAATAATACAAAAAAAAATAAAAAAAAATAATACAAAAAAAAAATAATCAAAAATACATATAATAAAAAAACATTTTTTATAATTAATTACAAACTCAGGTATTTTGATAGCTGTAAGTCAAAATATAATAATGTAATCATGTAACAATAGTGGATAAAACAATTAAAGAGTTATGGATTACTACAATAGTCTGGCCTTTTGGTTTTATCCAGTGCCATTAAAAAAAAAAAAAAAAATTGGTATTACAGAGTATAAATGGTGATATTGAAAAATATTTTAATAATTTTTTGTTATGTAAAATTCTTAGTTATATTTTAGAGCTTGATGATTATAATAATAATAATAATAATAATAATAATTGTCGAATTGTGTTTGTCTGGGTTAAGGGACATTCCGGAATCAAAGAAAATGAAACTGTTGACTTAGCAGCGAAAGAAGCTACTAAGTTATATTTTCTTGAGCAAATTCATCATCAGGCACACCAAGGTGTGCCTGATGATGAAGTGACAACTTCGAAACCGGTCGCCAATAAATTGACTTGTGAGAAATAAAGGACCTTTTCTTTAACCTTTACACTTAACTTATTTATTGCTTTTGAAAAAACAAAAATACAATCATGGGAAACAAACTGGAAAAATGTGACATACACATCTAATAATCCTTACTTTTTACTGCACCGAACTCTCCCCGGTAAAGTACCACATTTTTAATTTTTCAGACCTAAAATCTCCTTTCCACATTTAATAAAGAGGTATACGACTTATTATGTAGTAACATTCTTAAGCAAATATTACATGAGGAGAAACAAAAAAAGATTATTGAAAGCCTGGGCAACGGCAACGGACAAAAGACTAATGCCAATTCTACACAAAAAAATAAATATTCCAATAATTAATAAATAAACGGTAATGTATCACCAGAAAAAGTTAAGTTCATAATTTTAGCAGCTCCACTTATTATAGCTAGTTTGACAGTCGTTCCGTTACCTTCAATTAATTGTTCTTAATCATAAACGTTCTGTCATTAAATGTGAGTTAGAATAGTTAGGAACGGGAAAAGGTTTCTACTTAGAACAGGTACATAGTACGAAAATGTCACACACACGTATATTAAAAAATTGGACTGCTATTCCAATCACATATACATAATTGAAAGCCGCGAATTTTTTTTTTTAATTTGAAATATTTTAAATGCATAAAAATTTCTCTATTTAAGGGGAATCGGAAAATTTGAAATTTTCCAGCGGTAAAGTAGTCTGTCACCAAAAACTTGGTGGTCGCATGACATGTGACATGACTCACTGTACATGAATACATGAAATTGATATTAGCATCTATAAAATAATTTTCTATGCCAATATATCGTGTGTATGAGGTACATGCCCGGATTTAAAATGTAGGTAGCCCAAGACCCATTTTGGTGGGAAGGCCATTGTTTCAAGGTGTTGCAATATGTAATGCAAAAACACGAAATGAAACGAACACAAGATTATTTATAAAATTTAGTTACTCTAGAGAAATTCTTTTAAATTTCTTAAATTTTTTTCATTAAAAAGTAGTTAACTGTATAACTGTATAAAATCATAGAAATAGTCATCTATCCGTGGAATATTTGATTTAAATGCTAAATAGCGAAGACATTTTCTCTGAACCTGTTCTAATCTATGAATGTGACATGTATACTGGGGGTTCCAGACTGAAGAGAAATATTCTAGCACAGGCCTAACAAGACTACAGTACAATAACCTGATAGCATTAATACTTGTAAAGTCTGATGTGTTTCTCTTTATAAACCCAAGCATACCAAGTGCTCTGGGTACTATTGTGTCAATGTGATTGATAAATGAGAGCGTGGAGTCCATAATAACACCTAGATCTCGAATGGATGCAACTCGGGACACTGGTGTACCCTTGATATTTTATTGATAATGAATCCTGTTGATCTTCCTAGTAAAGGATATTGAGTGACACTTTTTAGGTCCATAGCATTATTCGCGGACCACTCATCAAGCCTAGCCAGATCAGACTGAAGTTTGAGACAATCCTCAACAGATTAAACTGCTAGGTAGCACTTTAGGTCATCAGCAAAACATAAAAATTTGGCAAACTTGAAACATTTTGAGATATAAATTATAAATAATAAAAATAACAAAGGTCCCAAATGGGACCCTTGGGGGACTCCAGATGGATTGGGAATGTTTTTAGATGTGTAATTATTCAATTTAACAGTATGGAATCTTTTAGATAAATAACTCGCCAGCCATTACAATATTGTTCCCATGATCCCAGAAGTCTCCGGTTTGTTTAACAAAAGTTAGTGATTGACTCTGTCGAACGCCTTGGAAAAGTCTGTATATGGCATGCACCTCCATCCAAGACATCCGACAGATAGTCAACAAAAGCAAGTAAATTCAGTTCTATAGATTTTTTGTTAAGAAACCCAAATTGTTCTTCTATTATTGATACACGTAATTTAGATCTTAAGTAATCAGCAAACAACTTTGGAAAATGGAAAATAGTGAATGATACTTGTTCATACATATTGCTTAGTGTTATTATTAGTACATAATTCTATAGTCAATTAATAAAATCATTATTTTTAAGCAAGCCGACTTTAGGTTAAGGCTGTTCTACCGCTTTCCGTTCAGTATTTATATAAAATTCTGTTACGGTCAGGAAATTATCCTAAAATTGTATATTGGTCAAACGGGCCGTACTTTCAAAACAAAAGCTATTTAAAACATTGCAATAGTTATACTAAAAACAAAAATAATTCTACAAAACATATTTTTATCTGAAAATCAAACGTTTATGCAAAAATTGTTTCACTTTTTGGGAATAAATTAAACCATTTAGAAACACTTGAAATAAATATATTTAATAACTGAGCTTAATTAAATCTCTTTACCTGTTCTTAGTTTTCTGTGAGATAATCCCGGTAATGATATCTTATTGGAATTTTATTAATATATTTCTCTTAAGTACCTACTTTAACTAATTAGTTTATTTTGTATATATATATATATATATATATATATATATATATATATATATATATATATTAGAAATGTAATAGTTACATCTGACATTTATTGCATGATATTTATGTCTGATAGTTATTCAGTCCAGGGTAAACACACAAAAATTTCTCTCGGACATATATTTTTGAGTGTTTACATTGGAATAAACAACTGTCAGACATAAATATCATGCAATAAATGTCAGATGTAACTGTACCTTAAATGAGTCACATTTGAAGAAGTTGTACTTAGAAACAATTGTCGTGCAATTTTTAATTTTTATTTCTTTAAATAAAAGTGAAAATCTATCATGTTTGGTTTTTCTCATTTTAATAATATGAATTTTCATCAAGTAAAGACCGAAACTATCAAGAAATTAAAATGAAATGGTATTAAATACTTCAAAGAATTGGAAAACTACGTAAGTTTAATTGCAAATGAACTACAGAGTATGTTTACCTGTTGCTTGTGCAGTTTGAAGTTTGATATCATCTAAAGTAACTCCTTCCTTTTTTGTTGCGTCAAAATATTTAAAAACATTGTATATTACTTCACGACTTTGTCCGTTAATAACAGATCTGCGCGTTTTTTCACCCACAATAGAAGACATTATCAAAAATAAAACCAGTCACTTTAACCAAAACACAGAAACAAGGTTCAAATTGTGAATGGGCGTGGCGATTTTTAAGTAAACGAACTTGAGCATTTGCGCTGGTTCTTTAGATTTGGCATTTACTGTACCAGACTTGAAAATAGGTGTAAGATAGCTCACTTTCCAGAAATCTGGGAATATGCTTTAACTCTGGGGAGAACAGTAATGAAAATTTTCTTTTGGATGCTTTTTTTAGTGGAATTATAGCATGGATACAAAAAATAGAGAATGTCATAAAAAATATTAACCATATCATTCGCTGAGTGATGTAATAATAAGTCATCCCATGTCCAAGTTATCTGAATAAAACTGGATGAATTGCTCTATTGTGGCCTTATCTGAAGACAGTTTTTTTAAATGTCTAAAAAAGTTAAATTCACTTGATGTATCTTTATATGCTTGAAGACGTTGATTAAGACAAACGATAAACCAATCAATAACAGACAAGAAAGATTACGTTCTGAATTTTTCAGAAGGGCTAAGTTGTACTTCTTATCCATAATCCAATGGGATGAGACGCACATTTAGGCGCTTGTGTCGAGTTTTTATCTGAACCAGGCAGCTCTTCGCCTTGCTTCTCGTAAGTTTCAAAGGATTCACGACATAGTTTTTTAAGCTGCAGTGATGCGACGACAGTATTTAGATAGAGTTTTGCGTTTTGTAGATTTTACTAGTAGGACTGTTCTTTGCAGAGAATAATTCCTAATTATAAAACTGTTGTAAATTAGTAAATTATCAGCCATTAATACTATATTGTTGGAAGAACAGGCCAGTACTATGATTTTAAATAATTTAAATTATAAAGTTTGATTATTACATTTTCTTATCAAGACAGATCACAGTCTTTTGTGATTTGGTGAGACTGGTGGAAGGCTCACTTTTGGTCAGTGACCCAGCGCCCGGGCCTGATGAGGTAGAAGGACTCGTTCAACTTCTGTCTCTCTTATACCTACTGTTATACTTGGACGAAACCGAGTCAATTTAAAAAAATAACCTTACAACGTTGCCACATTTCAATTTATTCCATAAACTTTCTCAGGTTTGGTCCTCGATCACGGTTCTCGTCACCCCGATATGCCGAAAAGTCTGAAGAATTGTTACATACTGACGTGCAACGTTAGCATGGAATACGAAAAAAGCGAAGTCAATTCGGGTTTCTTCTACAAAACCGCAGAAGAGAGAGAAAAGTTGGTTTCGGCCGAACGAGAATTTATCGAACAAAGGGTTAAGAAAGTTGTCGAATTGAAGAAATCTCTTTGCAACGGTACAGATAAGACGTTCGTTGTCATTAATCAAAAAGGTAAAGTTTATTTTTTATACGTTATTAAATGAGTTTGGTCTGTAGTTTATAGTGGAGTTAATAGAGGGGAATAATTACGAGATCCTACTATTAATCTTTTGTTATCACTTTTACCGAGATTGTATTGCCTTGTTACATTTGCATGCATTAAACAAAAATCATTTTTGGTCATTAAAAAAATCTTATACATTTTTGATGCAAAACAAATTATTTTACGATATATTTGACAAATACTAATATTTTGAAACTAATTTGTTCATCATAACAAATTACGCTCAAGGACTATTGTTGATTACTTTTGGTATGTTGCTTCTGATCTAATATCAAAAGGTATCTCTTCTTGGAATTTTTCCAGAGTCTTTTATTATAAAAATCTCATTCTTGAAACGTGAACCAATACTTTTGATACCATGTTTATTCATTTTTATTTTGAACAGGCATTGACCCCATGAGCTTGGACATGCTCGCCAAGGAAGGAATAATCGCTCTTAGAAGAGCTAAAAGACGTAACATGGAGCGCTTGGCTTTGGCGTGCGGCGGTATAGCCATGAACAGTTTCGATGATTTACAGGAATCTCATCTCGGACGTGCCGGACACGTTTATGAACACGTTTTGGGCGAGAACAAATACACGTTCGTCGAGGATTGCAAAGTGCCCCAGTCGGTTACTATTTTGATGAAAGGACCCAACAAGCACACACTGCTGCAGATCAAGGACGCCGTTAGGGACGGATTGAGGGCCATCAACAATACTATCGAAGATAAAGCGGTTATTCCAGGTATGGAACTTAAAAAATATATATCTATGGTTCAAGAAATATTTATACTGTAGATAGCTTATGAGAGTTCAGTTTTAATAATATTAGAGGAGCAATCAAGTAATTGAGTACATTTATTTTATTATTTTTATGATATTTTTTTCAACGAATTAACCCTTTAACTGCAGGAACCACAAAAAAGCGCAAATACTTGAGCTAATGAGAAAGCTTAAGGTGCAAATGTCGGTGTTTGTTTGATGCGGTTTTGAGAGAAAAATAATGTAACACAAATTTTTTGTAAAAATACTGCCAAATAAAAATATGTAACCGCCAGTTTTTATTTTGGAGACTTGAGTAGGGAATTTTTTAACGGCGGTGCCAGCCTTACTGATTTTTTGTTAGATATAGGTACTGATTTACTCCGAAACCTACAAATTAACATGTTTACCGACAATTTCGTTTTGTACAATCAAATGCAGTACGACAAGATGGCAAGTCAGAATTAGATGCACACTGGCAAATCTAGAAATGGGAGGAGTTATCTTAGTTAAGGTCGATGCATAAACTCGACGTTTGCTTTTGCCGATGCCGTTGGCCGTTACAGATTAAAAACATTGAAGTGCATAAGACCATTCATAGTTGCCGTTTACGGTGCCGTCTGCCGATGGGTCTGCTTTTGGTGACGTTCAACATAAACGAATTTTATCTTTTGCCGGCGGCCGTTCGTAGCCTTAGCAAAGAGCCAATCAAATCACTTTCAGCTTGTCACGTGATTTTGACGCATGACATTGGAGCGCTTCTTTCTTTATTATTATTTGGCCTCCATCATATAGGGTACCACGACTACCACGCAGGGGATCGAATTTTTGTGCGCATGTCCACCGTAAGTGGAAATAGTGTCAAAACAACAAACAAACAGCCATTCGTTATTCGTATGTCGTTCACATATATCAACACAAAAAGTAAAATTATAGGTTATATATTTTCCAAAACACCAAAAAAAGAAGACGAGAACCGCACCAACGTCAAGTTTATGAATAGGATGAATTTATTGCTACGAACAGCAGTCGGCAATCGTCATCGGCATTGGCAAAAGCAAACGTCAAGTTTATGAATCGACCTTTACTGCCTAAACTTCGATGCTATTTGTGTTCACTTGTGCATTGTTGCCAAATTTATCTATTTTGAATTTTTGCCAGTGCGTGCGCATTAGTGATGGGCAATTCGAATGCAAAATCATTCGAATTATTACTATCATTCGAAATGTCTCGAATTACCTAGAAATGATTCGAAACATTTTAGACTTTAAATGCCTCAACTACCGGAGCAATTCGGCATAATTCAAATCATTTAGTAGAATTGACATTAGGCCGAATAGTTCCGTCATCTGAGGCCTGTAAATAATCTAACCTCAAAAAAGTAAAGTTTCATAAAAGTATATAATAATATAGAAATGCAAATATTTTACTTTTCCAAACTGTAATTAGCTTTTTTAATAGATCCTATTGATTTTTTAACAATTACAAAATTTACGTACAAATATCATTTTGTTTTTATTAATAATTAAAAATAAAACAACCCAAATAAACTGCAAAATAAATAAATATATAATGTTCATTCTGTAACATCCTAAAATTTAAATAAAACTTCTCAGTTAAAACTAAAAAAAGATAAATAAATAATGCATTCTGTAAAATCATAAAATTAAAAATTCACTTCTTAGTAAAAACAACTAAAAAGAGCTAAAATAACACTTCTCAGTAAAAACAAAAAACTCCCTTTGTTACTATCTTAGACATAAAAAAGTTAAATAAGTTCAGTATAAATAAGTAAAAATATCGAAAGACTGTTTAAAAAAATAATCTCATTGGGTCTTTTGGGAACATTTTTTATTTGACCTGCTTTGGAAAAAACATGCTCAGAAGGAATATATGTCGCAGGAACACTTAAATATTGACATGCTAATTGAAAAAGTTTTGGAAACACATTTTTGTGTTCCTGCCAAAATTCTAGAGGATTTTCCTTACGATCCATGTAAGGTAATTCGGTATATTGCCTTATCATAATTAGTGCGTCACTACTGGTCATTGCATAATTTGTATTTTGTTTTACTTTTTTTTGAAAATGACCACAAATTTTCTTCAGAATCACGTACCTCTTGATGTGCTTGTGCTTGGAACATCTGTTATTATTTGTTCTGCATCTTTTTTTCTAGGTTTTCTTTATTTTTCTTATTTATAAGTTTAATTAAATCCCACTTTTGAGCATTCTCAGCATTTCTTTCGATTCCGAATCCAAGTTTTTTGAATCGAGGATCCAAAAATGTACATTTTGCACTTTGTACATTCTAAAACGCCAAGTCTCTTTAATAAATGTTGTAAACCTCTTAACAGAGGAATTATACTTGACAACGTTGGATATTTTTCTCCGGAAATAATGTTAGTTCGTTTGCTGGTTTTAGTATTTGGACTATGTCTCCCAACATGGCACAATTAGCAGAATTTAATTGCGGATGTGCATTTTCACATTTTCAATTTCAGCCAGAGCTAAAATCAGTGGATCCTTTAATATTAGTAGTCTATCTATCATCAAATAAGTTGAGTTCCACCTCGTTGCCACTTCTTGTTTAAGTTTTAATAGGGGAAGATTAATCTGTTCTTGAACTGTCCTTAGCTTCTGGCTGGACAACACACCATGTTTAAAATGTGTCACAATTGTTTTACACTTATTTAATAATATTTCAATAGTTTTATTGTCATTATCTTTTAATGCATCCATCACTGCTAAATTTATAGTGTGGGCTACGCAAGATATATAAATTTTTTTTTTCATAATGTCTATCACACCATTTTTCATATTGGACGCATTCTCCATAAAAACTACAAACATTTTTTCGAAGATTTCCCAATCTTTTAATGTTTTCTTTAATGTTCTTCCTATATAATTTCCTAACATTTCTGTAGTAGAAAGAATGTTTAAATCTAATTTTTATGACTTATCTGAAACATAATGAGCTGTAATTGTATAATAGGATCTGTTGCTATCAAAACTCCAAAAGTATGTTGTTATTGATATACTAAATACACTGTCTATTTTTTTTAGTTGTATGTAATTTTCATTATAAGCTTTAGGGAGAATCTCATAGAGGTAATTTTGTTTGGACTTGGAAGTTTGTAAGACGGTTCTAGTTTTTTTACAGAACTCCTGATGTAATTAATTTTAATAAAGCCCCATCAAGATCTTGTGCTTCTGATGCCTGTTGTTGGGTACCGACTCGAAATTGTAATTGTTTTTGCTTTATAACCGTTTTTTGGGGTGGCTCATCATCACTGCTTTCTTCACGACTAGGGTTTTTTTAATAGTACCGCTTTATGCATGCGATTCAAATGCTGAAGTAAATTTGTAGTATTATGTCAAAGATGAACCATCTTTTCTAATTAAATGTATGTTATCATTATCTAAATTTTCAATATAAAACATAAAACCAAAATCAAACATAAAATAAATAAGTTTTTTCTTCTTTTTTAGCTCTAAATACAATTGTAAATAAGAGAATTTGAATGATCATTCGATTATTTATATTTTTATCATTCGAATATTTTCGAATTCGAAATTCAGTCGATTATGCCCATCACTAGTGCGCATCTAATTATGATTTGCCATTTTAATCTTGTCATACTGTAAATAGCTACAATATTATCAATGTGTAGCTGAACTATTTTAATCGTCGGATATAACAAAATCAATCTCTCCAGTACATTGATTATTTTAGATCCCTAAACGATTATATTACATAATGCGATTTTTTTTTCAAGGTGGTGGTGCCTTCGAAGTGACTGCCAACAAGGAACTGTTGGCCTACAAAGACGAGATCAAAGGCAAAGCTCGTCTGGGCGTGGCAGCTTATGCCGAAGCTCTTTTGGTGATTCCAAAAACGTTGGCTGTTAATTCCGGTTTCGATGCACAGGACACCATCGTTAAGCTCCAGGAAGAGGCACGTTTGAATCCGGAACCGATCGGTTTGGATTTAACGTCCGGGGAACCCATCAACCCCAAAGATTCTGGCATTTATGACAACTACGTGGTCAAGAAGCAAATTATGAATTCGTGTTCGATCATAGCCAGCAACCTGTTACTCGTCGACGAGATTATGAGGGCGGGAATGAGTAGCTTGAAGGGTTAATTTATTTAAAACTTATTGTCTATTTTTTGTTCGGCTTTTTTGAAACTGAGGTAAATGTATGTAATTGTGGCATTATGTATTGGTTCCGCGACTCACAATTTTCACGGTTATATTTTTTTGGTATGCATAATGCTATAATGAATGTATACTTACTTAACATTATCCTTAAAACGTTGATATTTACCATTTTGCATTAATAAAACTAAAAAACACAATTTTGTTTTCTTTAAACTATCCCAACCACTGATCTGTATTATTTTACTGGATAGGATATAGGCTATATTTAACATACTAACAAATCGTTCCACCAAGGAGACCGGAAGTGCAACAATGCTGGCAGATTTGGGCAAATTATGGTGGGTTCACAGAACTGAAATTTGGGATATAAAAAGGTGCATTTGGAACACAATACCTGCCGAATTTATTGCAACTTCACTAGAAAATAATACAAGCAAATGTTATTTTGAAAGAGTCATGAAATTTAAATAAAAGAAGTTATGAGTCCTAAGAGCCGATCAGTTCAGGACGAAACAGAGGCTTACTTTCATCAACGAACTCGTCTAAACAATGTTAGATATTCCATTTCCACAAAATAATCATGTCTTATTAAAGTTCTTTTTAGTAAACCCAACTCAATATCAAATGTATATAAATATAAATATTTTTTCTAAAATTTCATCTTCATCTAAATTTATTTTGCAAATCACAACACAGATAAAATATCTTTTTCAACCTAACCGTTCTTGAGGGATTACTTTAAACTGTAGTTTAAGTTAACTAAACATAGTTCACATATCGGTCGAAACAAAATTATATTTAAATCTGCCCTTATTTCAAGAACTTTAAAAATTAACAATCACAGATTTTCAAAACTTTGTGAATACCCAGGGATTCACTGTTAATCCCAAAGGAACTGCTAAAAAAAAATTTAAATTGAATTCCCAAGTTTAAGTCTAACAAATCTATGACCTTCATGATTTTTTAACAAATAAGTAAGCTTCCTTAAGGTCAATTGGATCCATAAAACAATTTTTGACATTAATTTGATAGCCACTGCACAGTTTATAGCTAAAGAATCAGTTCGCTCACTCTGCGTCGGCACTTTTGATCTCAATGTTGCAGTTTATACACTGCGCAACTCGGATTTGTATACCTGGCGCAACGGTGAAATCGGCCCTTATTTCTAGAACTTTAAAAATGAACAATCACAGATTTTCAAAACTTTGTGAATACCCAGGGATTCACTGTTAATCCCAAAGGAACTGCTAAAAAAAAAATTTAAATTGAATTCCCAAGTTTAAGTCTAACAAATCTTTTAACAAATAAGTAAGCTTCCTTAAGTTCAATTGGATCCATAAAACAATTTTTGACATTAATTTGATAGCCACTGCACAGTTTATAGCTAAAGAATCAGTTCGCTCACTCTGCGTCGGCACTTTTGATCTCAATGTTGCAGTTTATACACTGCGCAACTCGGATTTGTATACCTGGCGCATATAGAATCAAATCATAACCAATACAATATATGACAACCGCCTACTATATTCAAACAGCAGTCTTCTGCGCAACCTGCATTTGTATCCCTGGAGTGAATGTTATTTTGGAACATTCAACTGGTCCAACAGTGAGCTAACTGAAAATGGTTAACTACGGGAATTTGTTTGAAATTTTAAGGTTAAGGTTAAATAGTCTTTTACCATATAGTTCAGATAAAGATAAAATGTTAGAAATAATTATTTTCTACTTTGTATATCCTGAGAGATTAATAATTACTAATTAATTTATTTCAGAATTAAAGCATTTTCAGATATAAACCAAATTCTTGATGAAGGAGGCGTTTGTGTTTAGGTTTAAATGGTAGTTTATAACCTTTTAATCATATGATTACTTGATCCTGGTAAATTTATTCCATTGTAGAATAAAATTAGTTAATTTTAACTTCTATTAATTTATTTTAGCCCTAACCATAGGGTTAATATCTTGGATAGGTCTAATCTTACATTTTTTATTCCGGGTATATTCCTCATAACTCTGTTCGATTGTCTTCCTCCAAGCCTTTTTAATTACCTGAACATGTTAATAATCCCGTCCCATCGTAAGCCATTTCAAATTAGCCATTCTTCTATAAGATTATCCAATCAACAATTTGAGTATGATTTAGGTGATAAGAGTAGTTTGTTAAAGTTTAACACATCAATAACTCCATCCCCAGAGCAAGAATTTCAAACTACACATTTATATAAGGTTATCTATCTAACAATAATTTTGGGTAATATTATTCTTATAATTAGGCATTAA